CAGATTACTTTTGTTCATATCAAAAGTTCAACGTATACTTGATTTTTCTTCTGTGTATCTCCAACACTTTATGCAACTAGAGACCCAAAAACAGCAAGGTGTTATTAATTCATAACGTAGTTGTAACATACCTTGCGCCATTGTAGCTCTTGCTGTAGTTGCAGCGCTGCACCGGTGGTTCGACTGAGTACAACCGAAGGTGCCAATCTTCCGGCCAAGTGCAGAATATTGTTCTTGGAAGAATCCATGATTGAAAGATCCGTACGTTCAACAATGTGACGGATAAGGTTGTAGACTTTATCTGAACGGTTTATTACTGCTAACTGAATAATGTTATGCCCGTTCCTGTTCACATAATCAATTGCTTTTGGTGACCTTGATAGAATTTCGTCAACAACCACATAAGCACCTCGACATGCAGCCTCAAGAATTGCTGGCCTATAAATGAGATGCCGAGTACCAGAAGAGGTATGCCGGTCGATTTGATCGCATACGAAGCAAAACATCTGTTTCGCATCTTTGTAGTCTTTTTTCTTCTTCTCGATACGTTTAATTGGTGGCACTACAATTTAAACACTTAAGTTAAAACACCATCACTGTAGGGTTGGTCTAAATTATGTCAAGTTCCAATCGAGAAACCGATTGGTCATGAGCGGATTAACACTATAATCACTTACCTACAGTTGCTAAAACCCTCCACAGGAGGAAATACAGCCCAGAGAAGCCGGAAAAAAGCACTAAGCTGAGGAGACGGATCCACTGGTATATTAGATAAAATATAGCTGCCGAAAATGCACAGGAAATAGAAAGTATGTTAGTGTCAATTAGAAATAGTTTCATGCATATCGACTGATCTCTGAATTGGATTTCTGGTTATCAACAGCAGCTCACCAAATACCATCATGATGATTTCTGGGAACAACCAGCTGTAACGGGTTCTTTTAAACCTTCTCATCGCCCAGAAGATGTCCTTTCTGGCACTTTTATATAAAATTCCAGACGAATAAAACAGGGACGAACTACTATCGACTATTTTTCGACAGAGGCTGTTCCAAGCTGCAAACCATACATGTATCAAAATGTATCACCAACAATGCAGGAATATATACATGTATCTTCAGTCTTTGTAGCAACAAAATTTCTTGGTTTAGAAAAATAGATTAGACACATACAAGGATAGATCAATGCCTCCCCGAAGCCAAGCTCACTTGGAAAGGATCTTACAGTAGCCATCAATACTTGATCATCTACCGTTGCCAATTCAGGATACGCACGGACCAAAGACGCTGCACGTACTGCATGAACGTATATGAAAAAGTGTGAATCATCATATTAGTTGGTCGATTGATTATATGATCTACTAAACTACTCACCGTATTCTTTCGCGAGAATAGCAGTGATGAGAAGATGGATGCCAGTTCGGACACCAGAACCAGGATAAAGGCCTAAAGGAAGTTGCTGCTGCTTGGTTTGTGTGGCTTCCAACAAATACACAAACGTATCCAGCTGCATATTGTAGTAAGCACTGAGCAAGGGTACGTATGCTTTATGGTCCGAAATTCCCAACAATTCTTTCCTTTTCTTAACCAAGAGTTCAGCAGCGCGTTTGTTGCCAACAATTGCTGCAATGTGAAGCGCAGTGCTCCCATCTGAATTTTTCTTCTCAATATCTCTTCCCTCACGTATAAAAGCTAGCAACTCCTCCACGAACTCATTCTGCCCTTTTCCAACCGCTAAGTGAAGCATTGTGCTGCCGTCATTGCTGATGGCCTCTGTAGCTACCTTTGCAGATGTTCTCAGTATGGCTTCTGCATCCCACCAATTCCCTTCCACTGTAGCTTTGTACAGCTTATTGTTGTCTTCGGTGTCATATTTGTTCTCCGTTAATGTCACTGAGGTCGTCTTCTTCTCTGTAATGGTACTCGGTTTCCTGGAAGCTGAATCTGCATCTAATTTCAAATTTTCAGTTCAACAAAAAGTAAGTTTGTCCATAGGTGGTGCTGAACTAATAATAGAAATGGAGATGCACCTTGTGGAGAGCTTTCTTGTTGATCATAGATGACTTTTAGTTTCCACCAAACGTCTCTTGCAGATTCAAGTTTTACAACAGTCCTGAGCACATCTTGGTTGAGTGAACCAAAAATCCAACCTTTGAGCAGGCTTTCGTATTGATCCAACCTCTTGAGATTGGTAGCAGTAATGGCGAATCTAGAAACTTTGCCCAACAGGGGCATGCCCTGATTGTCGTCTTTGTCCTGTACCATGTCACGCATTTTTTGACTGTCCATGAGGCACAGCATCTGCTCCTTCCAGACATGGTAATTGCTGTCGCCGGAAAGTTTTTCGGAAACAAAGTTGGAGACATTAATGTTTGTTGCGTAAAGGAATTCCAGTTCTTCGATTTGTGCAGAATAATCGGTCATCTGAAGAGAGTTATTTCTTTTACTATTTGATGCGTGCAGGTCCTTGGAGTCTTGCATTTCTGCAGAAACATCAAAGTTCAGAATTTCAATTCCATGGATGTTTTTCTGCACGTAGGTGCTTAATATTTTAAAGAATATGGAGATTTACCTGCTTCTGGAGAACTTTTTTCGGGATCGTAGTATTAGAATGTATTTATAGTATAGATTGTATAGATATTCTAGATTATTCGTTTTCTTGTTTATCTCTTGCCTAATATTGAGGCATTGAAATTATATATATTGTATGCTTGATTCATGGATTGACACAGAGAAAATTGTGGGTCTTTGGAAACTTTTATGGTATCAGAGCCTATTACCTTTTACCCTAATATTGCCGTCACAACCCTCTTCCTCGGATCCCTGCAAATTTTATTTTTTATTTCCTTTAATTCTTACTCACGATCAAGATGACCAGCACCGGTAACGTCACAGAAAGCAGCACCAAACTCAAGCCCCTCCATCCGGCATACAACGTTACGAACATCAACAACAAAGTTAGAACGCTAGATGGCACAAAGATCACATACTCAACTTGGGTTAAGTTGTTTCGGTTACATGCTACGGCATACAAGGCTATGGATCACATCACCAATGTACCTCCACCGGAAAAGGACGCTCCTGAATATGCGGAATGGAAGGAGGTTGATTCTCTTGTCCTACATTGGATCTATAGTACTGTCTCCGATGAGATCGTGGTTCGCYTCATCGAGAACGACACCACAGCTAGGGCAACCTGGATCAAGTTACGGAACATGTTCCTYAGCAACAAAAGCTCTCGCGCCGCARCTCTTGAGCACGAGTTTACRAACTTAACGYTGGCGAAGTGCTCCTCCATCGATGAATATTGTCAAAAACTGAAGGATCTTGCCGAACAACTTGAAGACGTGGATAACCCGGTAAGTGARACTCGTCTTGTTTTGCAGATGGTTCGTGGCCTACCGGCTRAATATGAGATAGTGGCTACATTCCTCAACCAAACCTCACCATCATGGGATGAGGCTAGAAACCGCCTACAGCTAGAACAACATCGACAAGCGGTCCTGAAAAACCCCGACCGAACAATCAGCTTGGTTAACTCCTCAACAAAACAACACCACTACACCTCACTACCAAACTCCCACACCAAACTACCAACCCAACTCTCAGCCTCCGCATGACCCCAATCGCCAACAATACTACCATCAAGACACCAACAGAGGCCGCGGTCGCGACCGTGGTTCAAACTGGCGTGGCGGTCGTGGTCGTGGGAAGGGCCGTGGCTCGGGCCAGCGTCCACAATGGTCGGGTCAGTGCTGGTACAATGGACCCACTCCCTACAGTCAGTGGAACCCGCCCCCATCTCCCTATCCCTCACAGTCGTGGTATGGGCCTCATGCCCAATTCGGTAACCTAGCTTCAGCCCAACAACCCATCTACCCGAACTACCCACCTGTTGGCCCCTACTTTTCTCACCAAAGCCCATCTCCTAATGCTGGCCCTACTCCCTCTTCGGCCCACTTCAACCAACAGGCTGCGCTAAATGCAATGAGCCCAGTGGACCTACATCAAGCCTTTACAAACTTGCAGGTCTCTCATGATCCAAATTGGTACATGGATACCGGGGCTACGACTCACTTAACTGCAAATCCAGGTAAAATTACGACCCCTATGACGTTCTCTTCAAACACTATATTTGTTGGTAATGGTCATYGTTTGCCSATCTCGGGGTCCGGTAATAGCTTGCACCCCATCCTAAATAAAACCTACCGCTTACTAAATATCCAACATGCACCAACCCTTATCAAAGATTTACTTTCCGTTAGACAATTTACTCGTGATAACCAAGTTTCTATCGAATTTGATCCCTATGGTTTTTCTTTGAAGGATCTCAAGACGGGTACCCACCTTTCCCGCCACAATAGCACGGGGGACTTATATCCATTCTCTCCACYAACACAAGCCCTTAGCACATCATCTTCYGCTCCTCCCTGGCATAAYCGTCTCGGTCACCCTGGTGCTAATATATTAGATTTTCTTTCTCGTCATGCTATTATTGATTGTCATAAGACTAGTAATTCTTTTGTGTGTCCGTCATGTCAACTTGCAAATAGTAAACGGTTACCTTTTTTCCGAATCTAGTTCCATTACTTTTGCTCCGTTTGATTTAATTCATTGTGATTTGTGGACCTCACATGTGTTGAGCAATTCTGGCTATAAATATTACATGGTTTTAATTGACAACTTTTCTCAATACGTTTGGATATACCCTCTTAAATATAAATCAGAAACCTTTTCCACTTTCGCCAACTTCCACAAACTCATTTGCACCCAGTTTAACCGTGTCCTTAAAACCCTACAATGTGATTTAGGGGGGGAATTCGATAACAACAACTTCAAAACCTTTGCTCAAACCCATGGTCTCATTATGCGGTTTTCTTGCCCACAAACCTCCCCCCAAAATGGTAAAGCCGAGCGAATGATTAGATGACTGAACGACATCATCCGCTCTCTCCTAATTCACGCCCACATACCACCTACCTTTTGGGTGGAAGCCCTTCATACGGCCACATACTTACACAACATCCTCCCATCCAAACGATTGAGATATACCACTCCCGCCTACATACTCTTTCACCGTCATCCAACATACGACCATCTACGTGTTTTTGGATGTGCGTGTTACCCAAACACTTCCGCCTCTCAACCCCACAAACTTCACCCCCGTTCTATTCGATGCATTTTTCTTGGCTATCCACCCGGCTATCGTGGTTATCGTTGTCTCGATCCCACCACGGGACGTGTCCACCTATCTCGTCATGTAATTTTCGACGAACACACTTTTCCGTTCAACCACCCGTCCACTCCTACTACCTATACTTTTCTTGACGAGGACCCATCCCCTCTCCCATCACCCCAACTGTACCCCACATCTACCCCTGCCCAGTCCGTACGACCCAACTCCCCCTTGCATCCGGCCAGCCCACTAGAACCCTCATCACCCCCCCAACCTACTGTTCCAGCAGCTACCTCAGTCACCCACCCTCCACCGCCCCTTAACACTCATTCCATGACCACCCGTGCGAAACAGGGTGTGTTCAAACCCAACCCCAAATATTCCTTATCAACCACCCACACCTCAAATAACATCTCACCCGTACCCACATCCTACCTTAAAGCTTTATCGGATCCGAATTGGCTACGTGCCATGAACAGTGAATTTAGTGCTTTGCAGGAAAATCATACGTGGGATCTCGTTCCCAGGCCATCAGATAGCCCGGTGATTAGATGTATGTGGCTATTCCGACACAAGTTCAAGTCCGATGGCATTCTGGAATGGTACAAAACCCGTCTGGTTGTTAATGGTAAATCACAGACGGTGGGCATCGATTGTCATGACACGTTCAGCCCGGTGGTTAAACCGGCCACTATACGAACAGTGTTGAGCTTGGYCGTCTCTAAACAGYGGYCGATACATCAGTTAGACGTTAAAAATGCTTTTCTTCATGGGCATCTTGAAGAAACGGTTTACATGCATCAACCACCGGGATTCGTTAACGCGAATGCCCCCTCTCATGTCTGCAGACTYAAGAAGTCTCTTTACGGGTTGAAACAAGCCCCCCGGGCATGGTATACCAGATTTTCTACGTTTATTCTATCCCAGGGATTTCGTAACAGCATCTGTGATACGTCACTGTTTATTTACCGCCAAGGGGGGCGCATGGCATACTTACTTTTATATGTGGATGACATCATCCTAACTGCCTCTGACAGCTCTTTATTACAACATATTATTACTCTTCTCTCCGGCGAGTTTGCTATRTCCGACCTCGGGCCTTTACATCACTTCTTRGGGATCACGGTTACCCGAGACAGCTCCGGATTGATTTTATCTCAGACCCAGTATGCTCGCGATATTCTCCACAGGGCTGCCATGTCATCATGCAAACCATGCGTTACACCGGTTGATACGTCATCCAAGCTCAGTGCCTCCGATGGTGCGCTTCTAGCCGACGGCACCCAGTACAGGAGCCTCGCGGGTGCACTACAATATCTTACTTTTACTCGCCCTGATATAGCATATTGTAGTGCCTCCGATGGTGCGCTTCTAGCCGACGGCACCCAATACAGGAGCCTCGTGGGTGCACTACAATATCTTACTTTTACTCGCCCTGATATAGCATATGCAGTACAACAGATCTGTCTATTTATGCATGCTCCTCGCGAACCACACTTTGCATTCATGAAGCGCATCCTTCGTTATATCCAAGGCACCCTTGATCATGGTTTGCGCATACATGTCTCCCGTGCTCAGTCCCTCACAGCGTATTCTGACGCCGACTGGGGCGGATGTCCGGATTCCAGACGCTCAACATCCGGGTACTGTATTTTTTTGGGAGACAACCTTGTCTCATGGTCCTCCAAACGGCAACCCACCATTTCCTGATCTAGTGCTGAAGCCGAATACCGAGGTGTCGCCAACACCGTTGCCGAAGCAAGTTGGCTCTGTAACCTACTTTTAGAGCTTCATGTGCCTATTTCTAAGGCCACTGTTGTCTACTGTGACAACGTATCTGCAATTTACCTTACTCAGAACCCAGTTCAGCACCAGCGTACCAAGCACGTTGAAATCGACATACACTTTGTTCGGGAAAAGGTGCAAATCGGCCATATTCGTGTGCTACACGTTCCTTCATCTTCTCAATTCGCCGATATATTCACAAAAGGGTTACCTAGACAATTATTTCAACATTTCAGATTCAGTCTCAACGTTCGCTCTCCTACCATTCAGACTGCGGGGGACTATTAGAATGTATTTATAGTATAGATTGTATAGATATTCTAGATTATTCGTTTCCTTGTTTATCTCTTGCCTAATATTGAGGCATTGTAACTATATATATTGTATGCTTGATTTATGGATTGACACAGAGAAAATTGTGGGTCTTTGGAAACTTTTACGTAGATGGATTTTAGTTTAATCCAAACAGCTCTTGCAGATTCGATGTCTACAACCATGCTGAGAACATCATCGCTAAGTG